CGCCGCGCCTGTCACCGCAGGGTGCGGGCGCTCTGTGCCCCGTGACAGACACGCTCACACGCCAGTAACACTTCACGAGCCGAGGGATGCGGTGGTTAGGAATCGGGCACCCCGCAGTTCTGCAGTAGGAGCTGCTGGCTGTGTGTGGGTGATCGTATCTTTCTTTCCTCATTTTTTTTCCCCCCTTAACCGATGACATATTAAAAATAAAATGGCTTTAATAAAGAAAGAGGGGATGGAAAGGGCTTCTTTGTTCTGTCTTCTCCAGAACGTTACAAGTCTAAGAGCTCAGGACAAGAGCAGCAGAAATACATGCAACATGGTGACTGGTGAGTCCAGATTGTCCAGATGCTGCAAGTTGTGTGTGTGTTTCCAGTAACCTCAGTCTAAGTTCTCTGAACTAACCGTATGTACTCATGATCTCCAGAGGGTTTGTTGAACTTATTTCCTGGGAAAAAAAGCAGTTATGCTGAACAGGGAGGAATTATCTCCCTTGATCAGAGGAAGCTTATTCCCTGGACGTTCTTTTTTATTTTAAAATGCAGTATTAAAACCATGCTGCTGAGATCTGGTGAGGCTGGGTGTGTGCTGTCTCTAATGCCTGCCTACAGGATACATGGAATGTGTAAATTAGTGTGTTTGAAAAACTAACAGTGAAAGTGGTGACTGCAGCAACAAGCTGTGTGTGCTGCCCTGTAGAAGCCTGTTGAATCCACACTTGACTCTGAAGGAGGTTTTCTATCATAATTACAGGTGGGTTTAGTTTTCTATAATAACACTTTTGGGAGTATAGCATTACTTTCCTGAATCACCATCTAGACTTTGTACCTCTGCTGCTCCATAGGGCTCTGTGAAGTGAAGTTTTGAGGAGTTCAGTGGTTTTAGTTAAATAACCCCAAGCAGCCGTCAAACTGACAGGAACAACTCTGGGAGAAACTTACTGCAGCCCACACTGTTACCTGCAGTGTCTTTAGCTCCTTTCTGATTGCCAGAGTTGGAGAGCTGTAGGGGAAACCAAAGGAGGATCCTGCTGCTGTGGTGGTGCCGTAGGGTTCTGATCCATGGTTGGGACTTCACCTGCAGCAGCAGCTCAGGTCGGTGTTTCACTGTTTGAGGTGTTAGAAGCTCTCAGGGTAGTAACTTCAAGGGAATGTAAAGGAAGATTTTTCTCCTGCTAAAAGAGAGGAAAAGAGCTTCCTTGTGACAGGGAAAGATTCTCTAGTGGGCTCTTGATTTTGATGCTTGCTAAAAAGGACTAATTAAGATGAAGCAGCCAAGCAGGGTCGAGGATTTGTATCTAAGGAATTCATGCTGTGTTTGTTCTGCTTCCTGATGGTTGGAAGAGGTAGGTGACAGTTTGGTGGTGGACCTCTTCTTGATCTTTGGGCCTGCTGCTTGTGCGTCTGGGTTTCTGGTGGCTTCTGGTCTCTGCTGTGCAGGAGCACAGTGTACCCATGAGCAGCTCTTGACAGAAGACTTGGAGTTCCAGAAGTAAAAGCCAGGGCTAATGGATGGCTGCTGCTGAAAACAGTGGCCCTGCTGACCTCCTCACTGTCTCCCTTGACAAGATTATTTTAAGGTGAATAGCTATTCCCTGAGCTGTTCCAACATAATAAGCACTAATGCAGGAGCAAGGAAGGAGGCAGGACCTTTGCTGAGAGGTGAGCCCATCCTATTCAGCAGCAGCTAGCTGTCAGAAGAGCATATTGCCTCAAAATGCACCTGCAGTGTTCAAATCTGGGTTCCCAGCGTGGTGTCCTTGGGGCTTGTTCCTCAGAGGAGTCTTCCCTCTGAAAGCTGTGTCTACTAGAGCACCTCAAGAGTGGACATGCAAAATGACTGTGCTCCTCTGAAAACCTCACTGTGATATTGAAGTTAAATATTTGCAAGTTCCCAGTAGAAAATCAGGACAAGTTAATCACTCAGAATCTGTTTTCCAGCTTCAGAGAACGTAAGCAGCCTCCTGCAGTGAGGTGTGAGGTGGTGTGGGTCCTGTCCGAGCCACTGAGGGTGCGTGAACAAGGTTGTTCTCTGTTGGCTTCACCCTGGACATACTGTCACCTGGGAAAGGACTGCTAGTGTGTCCTGTTCAGGTGTAGAGTGCTCCTGGGTGGCTCCTGGAGGAAACCTCGCTCAGCAACTAAGTGAATAGTGTTACTGGCTCTATCACGCGGAGCTGGCTTAGAAATGTGTTGGATCAGGATCTCTGAAAGGCGGGAGAACTGTTTTTGTGTCCAGCTGTGGGCTCTACAGGAGCTCCTGTGTGCTGATTTTTACAGAGCTGTTGGATTTACCAAGTGAACATTGTTAGCTGGTGCTTTTTACTAAACATTGATGCATTTTAAGAATATATTCTGCAGTAATCTCATACAGCCACAAATGTTGCTTAATAACTCCAGAAAATATAGATACAGCGCAAAGTTGCCTCTTGGGTGTTCCCCTTACCTTTGATATTCATTCTTCTCCTGTGAGCCTGGTCCAGTGCACTAGCCATTAACCTCCTCCATGTAAACAAAAACTTCTGTGTGTTTAGATTTCTGTCACATAACAATAAAGAGTGGTTAGAATTTGCTCTGGCTGCCACTGATTTTGGTGGGAATTGGAGCTGGACTTGTGGAATACGCTTGGGCACCACTGAAAGCTTAGAGCTAACTCCCGTTTCAACACAGGCTGGTGTGGTTTCATGTTCAACCACATATTTCTGTCTGGGTTCCACTTTGTTAAATCATGGTAAAATTATATAAAACGTTCTGCTGTTGTACGTATTCTCAACAGAACTACAGCCATAGTGTACATATGGTGATCCCTGTCCTTTTTTCCTCCCTTCTGCAGCTTGATCTAGTAGCACTGCATGACCTCTTCTAGTCCTGATCTTGTGCTGTTTCACATCTTTTTCACAACCATCTCAATCTCTGGTAGTGCTGTAGCTCAAATCTATTTATTCTTTATCAAGACTAATTAGTGCCTTAGAAACAACCAGTATACTCACTCCAGAAACAATTTGTGGGTTTAAACAAGATAAGTCAATAAGAGAAGAATGCTGTCAGAGCATACCCTAGAGCTTTCTAATGTTCTCAGGTGGAGTCATCTCTCTTTTTTTTTTTCCCCTTGCTCTCACTTCCTCCCTGATTGTCTGACTTGCTTTGCTCTCTCTCTTTTGTCTTCATACATGGCATGTTTCACGTTAACCTCTTCCTATATTAAAGGAACATCAAGAGCTGATGCTGCTGTTGCCTTTGTCATTTCTAGAGCTCTGCTTCTCCACGCGTCTAGTTCCCTGTTTGAGGACTCTCTTGATTCCAGCACTCTCCTTTTGCTTGCTATGTTTGAATCAATAAGGCTGTCCTCATCCTAATAGCAGTGGGCTGAATGCTGCATCTGCTCTTCCGTTGTACTTCCCATTAGCTGCCCAGAATAGAGCTGTTCAGCTCTCCCACCTCTGTGGCCGCAGACACGGGTTTCTAAGCTCCTCTCGCTGATTCTGCAAACGAATGAAATGTGTGATTTGATTTTGTCTCTCGTGGGACTCTCCTGGTCTGGGTACAATGCCAGAAGATTTTACATGGCAGTGAGCTCTGGGAATAGTACCACAGTGACACCTGGTTATCGTTCAGACTTCCCTGAGCTGCTAAGGGTTAAGCTGAGAAATGTGTAGTAGCACAAGATGCCTCGTAAAGCTGAAGCATCTGTCTGGGGCATCTGGCTGTGCATGTGTGCTAGTTTTCATACAGCCCTCGGTACGAGATACTGGTTACTAGAGCTGGGAATATCCTTGCATCAAAGGAGTGCTGTAGTTAAGACTTTAACTTTCTCTTTCCTCAAGGAACCCTAAGGACCTTGCAATATGAATAATTCTCTGGAGAACACCATTTCCTTTGAAGAATACATCCGTGTGAAGGCGCGAACGATCCCGCAGCACAGGATGAAGGAGTTTCTGGACTCCCTTGCTTCCAAGGGGCCGGAAGCTCTGCAGGAGTTTCAGCAGACGGCCACCACCACCATGGTGTATCAGCAGGGTGGCAACTGCATTTACACGGACAGCACAGAGGTGGCTGGCTCTTTGCTTGAACTTGCTTGCCCTGTGACAACCAGTGTCCAGCAGCAAACTCAACCAGAGCAGCAAATACAGGTTCAGCAACCCCAGCAAGTCCAGGTAAGCATCCTAAATATTCTCTAAACGTATATATAACTTGCTAACCTGCAGAGTAATGTTCAGAGCCAGCTACTATCTAACCTGAAACCACAGGCAAGCACTTAAGAAGCAGGGACAATTAACTCTATACAGAACAGCACTATTTCTCTTTCCTTTAAGGAATTTGGTGGTGAATTTCTCTCTTGACTGTGCCTCCATTGAGCCCCGCTGCAGAGGAGTAGAGTACATAGCAATGTGGTAGTGTAACCTGCTGGAGAGTGGTTGACAGTTCTGGCATGTACACAGCTCCCCGAAGCCTTTGCTCTGTGCAAAGCTGCTATAAATACCACTCCCCTCTGCTGGTCTGTCTTTATCTGGTTATTCCGGGTGGTCATGGGATCTAACTCACCTTCAGGTTGTTGTTGTTTTGGTTTTTTTTTTAATAAAATCAATAATCTTAAAAACTATTTTGCTTGAACATTCAAAAAGTTGTGTTTCTTGAACTGATTTTTAAGTCAGGGGAAAATGTGGGGACATTAACTTAAGTTATGAACCAAGGGAAGATACCTCTCTGGAAAGGAACTCAAAAAGATGCACGTGTGTCAAGGTACCTTATCTCTTTGCACAGTGGAAGGAGTCTTCTCCAGTTGTGTGTTTGTTTTGGGATTTTTTGGGTTTTTTTAATAGGTATTACAGTAATTTATATTAAGTATTAAATGAGCAAATCCATTACCAGGGCAGGGGGAAACCAAACAAACATATAACTTAGGGTAACTGCTATGGTCCTCAAACACATCTCTTCAATTGAAGAGTTTATGGGTGGCAGGGCATTTACTAAGTTTCTCTTATGGTGTGTCCCCAGACAGCTGAGCTCTCTCTACAGCTGTAATTCTGATACAGTTCAGGTTTGAATCTTTCTGCTCTCTGTAGTGTGAATGTAAAAAGTTGTGAGCTTCCCTCTGTTGCAACAAATGAGGGTTTGGAGACACAAATTCCTGGAGATAAGGTAGTGTGAACTTGGTGCAGTGCAGTAGACTTGTGCCAACAGCTCACTTGCGTGCTTTTATTCTACAGCAAAGGCAAACTTACCTCTTTCACTGGGTAATTCATCTCCAGTTACTCTACTGAGTAAGTGAATGCTTAACTGGGACTCCTGTAACCTGTTGCCCTACAGTACCTTGTGTTGCAAGGCTTTTGAAGAATAAAAGCCTCTAGTGTCACAGACATGACTTGGATCTCTGCACGAGTCTATTAAAACTGATCAAGGGTGCTTTTGGTTCTGCCAGCTGGCACATTTTTTGGGAGAAGTTCAGTAGAAGACTAGGAGGGCAGGCTTTTTTGGATCCCTCAGCCTTGAAAATGTGCAAGGTCCCCAAGCCAGTTGTAAAATCAGAAGAAATATCTCTCTTTTTTTTCCTTTTTTCCCTCACCCCTCCCGCTGCTGCCTCCATTCAGAACTAGTCAAAGTTCAGCCTTGACCCTTGCAAGCCTTCTAGTAACAGAGATAGGGAGAGAGGTCATGTATCATATGGTCTGGAGAAAAATAATCTCCTGACCTTCTTGAAAATAACCGTAGAGTTGCTGCCAGAGACCTGTTCCTGTATTTTAAACTCAATGACCTGCACCCTGAGGAGCACAAAAAATATCTGATGAAAGTGCAGATTTCAACAGTTTTCCTAAAGAACGTTTTCTACTCTCTCCCCATTGTTTTTGTTGTGACTCTGCTTTAAAACACCTGCTTTCAGTCTGCCAGTACAGATCATGGTTAGTGTTTGTGTTGCCTCCCCTGCTGCTGGCTTCAGGGTGTTACAAGCCCCCAGGACACTCAGGCTGCGCATCTGGTACTAGATACGGCTGCACTTTTGCACATCAGCAGTACAACTGGGTTCATGTGTATTTGAGCCACTAGCTCAGAAGGATCTTAAAGTCAATTAATTAGCTTTGCTTTTTTGCAAGAATGAGATGGCGAGGAATGTCTCTACCCCTTTGCAAGAGTGTTTTTCTGTCTTTCAGGATTTCTTATCGCGACGTGATTGATGTTAAACCCGTGATTTAGTGTTCACCTGTCTCAAGACTGTCACTGTGACAGCAGCAGCAGAGCGGGGTGCTGAACAAAGCTGAATTTTGTTTGTGATACCAGGGTGACAGTGCTCTGTTGGAGCAGTGCTCCTGGTCCAGCTGGCTTGCTTTGTGAAAATTCTGCTTGTGTTGTATGCTGGGGAATTTTGGTCATCTGCTGAAGCCTCTTAGCTTTTGATCAAATTTATGTCATCCCGGTACTTGACTTGATAATCTGTTTAGTTCTTGCTAATCCAGTTACAAATCAGTGGAAGGCAGTTTGAATGACTATGCTTATGTCTGGCAGTGTGACAATGGTGTTGAAGGTGACTAATAATGTGACCAGTCAGGTGACCTCATGGTTGTATCTGCTGATGACAGCTCCACCATCATAAAGATAGACAGATGATGCTCAGGTTTCATCCCAGATTTTACTTGCTGTGAACAACCAAAGACTGCTGTTGACTGCTGCCTGCTTTTATTTAACCTGGAAAAATAAATTTCCTGTTTAAAAAAGTTGCCACCTTAGGGTTTTCTTGCCTAAAAGGCTCAAAAAACTGTTGCCAAGTGTTTATTTTAAAGGCTGAGTGGATGCAGCTGTTGGGTTATGTACTAGTCAGTGCTACAGCACAGGTGCCTTCAGTGCCCAGTGTCACAGCAGTGCCATGAATGATCTTTAGGAAAGAGTTTAGTTTGTCAAGTTGTCATATGCTGTGCTGTGTGAGGGGGTGGCTGTGCAGGGCTGTGTTTTGCTCCAGTTGAGTAAGAGTTTTATCAGCTCTGCCTTGGGTGGGATTGTTCACTGGTTGGTCTTGTGCATTGAGGCCATCAAATTGGTGATGCCAGCGAGAAGAGGTGTTAGCACTGACTTGCTTATTGGATATGGTATTTCTGCAGAGGTCACCTCTCCTGTTCCACAAGAAGACTCAACTGAAAGAATATCAGAGGACAGAAAGTATCTTTGCTTAGGATACATACAGCACGTGCAGGGAGATCTTCAGTTTCAGCTGGGTGGCACGAGCTTCTTGGATAGGGCTTGAGGGGAGGATGCTGCAGGTGAGCAAGATCCCAGAACTATACAGGGAATGGTTAAATGTCTGCATAACAGTCTGTCAGTTAAGGCCTTTCTAATTGCACAGTTCCTTACATATTTGCTGTTCAGCTTTAGTTTTTCAGTCTTCCTCCAGTCTGTTCTGTGACTTCAGACCATCATAGGAAACTAGACGTTATTAATGACATGAGGCAGGGAAAGATGCCCTGAAGTAGCTCAGAAGAAAATTGTATCTCTGGCCCTGCACAGAATACACCTTTCCTTCCCTGATGGATGCAGCTTCCTCTTGCCCCAGTCTGGGTCTGGGAGTTTAGCCTGGAGGTAGGGCTCCTATTCTCTTCCCCTTGAAAAGAATCCCAGTAAGATGCTCGTGCAGCAGCCAGTATTGAT